GGATTTAGTACTAACTCTAAAAGGCCTTTCATTTGAGAAGATCAAATCCAAAATCAAAATTTTGTCCACGGCCATGATATCTGGTATTCTCACGGACCTTCTCTTAAATATGAAAAAGCTCTCAAGCAAATCTACAAATGATGCAGGCAAATTAAAGCTTTTCTATTCTATTTTCCAATGTTGTCTTTGATTTCAGGTTATCTTGTTCATAAAGCTAATCAACAATGTTATGAGCTTTCAAAACAAGAAATTCGATAAAACATCATCTCAATTTTTTTTTAATTTTGTTGTTTAATCTATGGTTTATTTTTTCAACATACATATATCCTAGTTCAACATTAAAAAATGATTTTTTTTTTGTTTTGATCATTTATTTTTTTTTAACAGAATGAGAAAGAGAGCAATTAACAGGTTAGGTTTATTCCTATAGGTAGATCAGTAGAAGTTGCAAGACTTTATTTTTATATAGTAGAATAATCAGAAAAAGAAAAAAGCTTCAGAATATATCTCCAACAAGCATCATCTTGTCTCACAGATACAGAAAAGTGCTTTGCATAAATGTTCATGATGAGATTGAATCTCTATATCGGAATTGTTAAAATGAATGATAGTTCTTAAAACACTGATTAATTCAAAGGTTATCAATTGTTGATGGAATTGAAAATTATAAAAACATATTATCAGAAATCTGAAAACTAGATATTTAACTACTTAATCATCAAATTTATTTTCTTTATCATATAAAACCATCTTGAATTAAATAGATAGTATACTTGTTGTATGTCACAAATTTTCCTTTTTTTAATTATTCTATTGTTTTTTTTTTGTCATTTGTAACAATACATGTTAAAAATGGTGGCATCCATTGTAATTAATTAATTATTTTCTTAAAGAATTTAAAGAATAATGATAACTAGTTGATATTAGGAAAGTAATCATAAAAATGTTTTCGATAAATTCAATGGATATTCAATTCTAAGAGTTTTGAATTTCGTACAATTGATTTGTGTTGAATCTCTTGTAAAATTGTGAGTGCATCTATGTAACTGGTCATAGTAGATTACCAAGTAAATAGTATTTGAGAAAAATGTTTTGGTATTGAATAAAAATTGATCAATATAATCATCATGAATATTCATTAGACGTAATACTGTAAGATGAGAGAATTCACAATAAGTGGAATAATGTTCGCCATATTCGTTTAGCTTTTGAGTTTATGACTCCAAGCTACTCACTGTCAACTCTTCGAGAAACGGAAACGATTGAGCAATTCGAACAAAAAACGAATGTTCATCAAATAGTGTTACAAATTAAACAGATTGAAATAATCTACTTGGAAAATTATTAGTAATATTTTCATAATTTCTCAATCTAGTTATATGGATATGTGTATAAATGACATTGACTTTTGTAATTTTAATTCAATAACCTAAACTGCTGTCGATTAGAAAAAAAAACTGTTGATAACCAAAGCTACCAATGTTTGAAATGTACCTGCTACATTCAGTTTAGCTTATTCGTCTATGATAAAAATATCAAGTTAACTTAAATTAGGATAATGAGCAGCAAGAAGAATACGTTCCATAGATGATGATTAAAGTTTGAGATATTCTATTTTATGATGAATTTTAGGCAACATTTGCACACAAAATCGATCGAGCCATTGATTAGGTTGTGTCAACATATGATTACTTCCTTTCATTAAACTTATTTTTGTAGTAAAAATAAAATCATGTAAAATTTGACTGAGTCATCTATTCACATCCATTAAACAATAAAGTACTTCAACATTGTCCAATTTAATTAAAATAACAATATTATAATTTCATCAGGTAAATTCATCAATTGAGCATTTGAATGTTTCATGTTTGTTTTCCACTACAGATTTTTCTTAGCTTATATATATCAAGATATATACTCGTTTGTTCTATTTGACTGCTGTCGTTAGTGAAAACAATTCTCTTTAGATAAAATTGACGATCAACAAGTCGACAACATATTTTGTCTTTTTTTCTTCCTCGTTCAGTTTGACGAGTATGAAGAATTCTCAAGCGAAAAAAAGCATAGTATTTTAAGCGAATCAATATTAAGGGTGTGCGTGGCCTGTGGGTATCAAATGAATATTACATTCACACCCCACACCTACCTGTGCTCGAGTACGTGTTGAAATAGGAGCACCGTTAGATTGTTCCATAAATCGACTATTAACGAATAGTTTGGCTATTGCCGAGTCCGTACGTTTTATCGATGATTGTAATTCGATAAACTTGACTAGTGCACCAAATTGTTACAGTTTTATCGAATTGGCCAAAGAGATTTCTTTTCTCGTTCCAAGATTAACCATCTTTATTACGAAGACACGGTTATTGATATAGGGGAAAAGAAAGGTGGTTATAAGGATAGATCAAATACCAAGAAAGAAGAGAGAAGTACAAAGAAAGGAAAAGAACATGAACGATAGAATAGAAGGAAAATACCATATGTCAGCATATGTACTACATCTAGCGAACGAATATCTTATTTGTTCGCTTACAAAATCTTTATTCAAATGTTCGTTCGTTCGAACTTGAATTTGATTCTTCAAAAGTCTCATTTTATGTTCAAATAAATCTTCTCTGATAAAAGAATTATCTGTCAATCAAGACAATGTTTTTGGTAGGATTTTTTTATGAAAAATATTTTCAATCGATTATTTTGTTGTTCTTTCTATTGAATCAATGATGAAAAAATGGTTGTTTTGGAGAAAACTCAAAAGTTGAAGGTTATGTCAATAAATCTTCTCATTGGATAATCAAACTCAAGACTTATTTAAATCTTTTAAAGAATTAAATTGAATAATAAAAAAAATTCAGTGATCCAAAAAGTAACGGAATTCAATAATTTCCTATAAGCTCGATTCGAATTCGAAAATGAAGTTAACGATGAAAGAGTTTTTTGTTAAAGACAAATCAAATATCAGCTACAAGATATAATCTGTTACCGTTTCTTCCGAAAAATCTGTTCGAACAATTTCCTCGATCTACCAATGCTTTCTTTTTATTTCCTTGATGCCTTCAGATATTTTATTTCAAAAAGGAATCCTTAATAAAATATGCTTTTTTTTAATTCTCTATTTTTAAAAAATGGAATCGATAATATTGTCTCATCTTTTCTTTTATCTTTTCAAAACCAAATTTTCTATTTAGGTAAGACATCGAAGTGACAAAAAAGTACCAAATCCAGAAAGAACTTGTCATCACATATTGAAAACAAATTCAAGTGGATCAAATAGTTCAATTAGAAAACAACGATTTAGTTTCGATGAGAAATTCTTTTCAAATCAAAACTTTCAAATAATCATTTGTTTTCAAGGCTAATTTGGTGATTATTTCGATAAGTGAACCAAATGTAGATTAGCAATGCTTAACCAAAAGGCTAATTTGTTCTGTCGAACATGTGAAATGTATGTGATATTGTCTATGACTTGTCGGGCTGTCTTTCACACATTTTGCAACGTTCCAACGAGCGAACCATCGTTATCATTAATTTTTTTCTCGGCCAATCATTTTTCGTGACCTCACACTTTGAATATATCTTTTAACCTCTCTTTATATGATATGACCTTCTTTTCTTTCGAATGTTGACTCGCGTGTGTTCACAACTACCGGTTAAACAAGTCATAGAACGAGTATGACAACTTACCAATCTGCTATTCAATACAAAATTAAAGAATTAGGAACAATTTTCGCTGATATTTTGCAGACACTCTTTGAATAAGGTTACAAGATCACTATTCTACTTCATATCTATACAAAAATAAAATAAATATATTTTATTATTCTAGTGGTCTTGAACATTTCAGCTGTATGTGAAGAGATTACTGTGTGATACAGTCGAGTCCACTTATAAGAGCTCCGGATAAAGGAGCGGTCCGCTTTTAAGAGCTTTGTTTTGGCGCTTTTTTGCGATTTGAGTCCGCATAAAAGAGCTATATTGTATGTTCTTGTTCTTTTCTTTTTCTATTCATCTGTTGCACGTATACTCTTTTTCGTCTTACTCACTTGTCCTAACTGACGTCTTTGTTGAGTAAGAAGAACCATTGTCTTTTTCTGTCTATTATTCATTTTCTAAACAGACGGACGAAGCTTCTCCACTTTTTCTCTAGTCCGTCTATTGTCTCTCTCCTATGTATATATACTTGCTGTTTCTTCAGTAAAGGGATCAGATATTCATCCATCCAAACTAAATCGACACGGAATGGCCGATTTAGAAGAAGAAGACGAAGAAGAAGCCGGGATTTCTTATGAATCGATACCAGGGGTCTCTCATAAAGATGCACTGATGCATCTTTCGATGGTTCGCAAGTATTTGGAAGAGAATTTTACAGAGTATAATTCATATTATGATATCGAAGACATGATCGAAAAGAACGCTTTAATTAATCGTACTCAAAGTAAAATCACGGATTTCTTTAAGTAAATTTATGTATGGCTATGTGCTACTTAATAGATGTTGACAAGAAACAATTTTTGCACTGTTTTACATATAGTTCGGATAAAGGAGCGGTCCGGATATAAGAGCCTCTTTTAGAAACCCCGACTGCGCTCTTATAAGCAGACTCGACTGTAGCATGAACAAAAGGAAAAATTTTCTTCTGATATGTTCTATACAACTTTTTAGATCTTCCTTATTATTAATATGAACATGAGCATTCATAATCATAGCACTGCAGATAATTGTCAACAGGAACGACAATTTATCACTCAAGGCGAATATTTATCATCATCACTTTCGTTATCTGGATTACCACCTGAAATTCTTATTTACAATATTTTTTCACATTTGACATTTATTGATTTATGCTCACTTTCACAAGTGAACAAAATTTTGAAAACATTCATCGATACAAATGATGGATTATGGAAAAATGCCATTAAAAATGAAATGTTAGGTATATTAAAAGATATAAGAATAAGCATATTGAACTATGTAGAATAGATTTTATGATTGTTTTTGTTTTAGATGAATCATCATTACATGAGAAAGTATTTGAAAATGAAAAATTAAAATTTCAGTATTTATATAAACAACGACAAAAACAAGGATTAATATTTGTGAAGAAAATCATCGCATGTGGTCAATAGTAAGTAGATGTTTTCATCATTCGAACATGAGTAACTGAATTAAACGCCACAAGTCGAAGAAATCAACAGTTTAAAGACATTGAAGAACAATTCAGCAGCCCACTTGTCCCAATAATTTAAACGTAACGGCAAAAAACACGAAACATCTTGAGTTTCACTCTGTGCATTGTACTGAAAACCAAGGATTTCAATTCAGTTTTGTAAATTGTTTCTGTTTACTTGAATTCCTCAGTTTTGAATCTCATGTGCTCAAAAGACCTGGTAGAGTTTCTTCGGTCCGAACAGTTCATGGATGTGCGCGAGGAGCGAAACTAAGGAGATTCTAGTTTTTTCTTCGTGAAAAAAAATGTTGTAGAGAAATACGAGAAAGATATTCGTAAAGCGAAGAATTCGTTTTCCAGTGTTCAGTTCCGTTTCAGAAGTTTTCTAGTTCAGTGTCTGGAACAGTAAGTATTACTGCTAAAAGTCTCAGCATTTGCACTGCATATCAAAACAGAGTTCTCCTATGACTTTGAAAGTTTTTCTATGCAGTCCAACAGTTTAGATAGGTACGAAGTTTTTCAAGGTCATTGAAATAATTCTTTCTTTGCGTTATTTCTAGTACTAATCGTACATATTTGTTTCACAAGTATATAACAGTTCGACCGACAATAAATACTATTCACAAAGCACAACCGAACCATGAATTATGTAAGAATCCTTGATGCTGAATATAGTGTTACGTGATATAACTTATTTGATTCCATATGCTTTAGATATCTATTTTATTCATGGTAAACTAGAGAACAATATCACCATAGATATGATGGATGATTACAGTCTAAGCTTACTAACAAAACCTGAAAATATGGATGAAACAAATGCATCAACACATTATATAAAAGAAGCACAAATCAAATGTTTGAAATGTAAATCAAAATGCTATTATCCACCTCGTTCATGTATGCAACCACATCCATACAACTGGTTTGTCAGTTATCTACCGTTACGAAATCAGTATGGTGAACGAATCGAAATCATTGAAATCTATTGTGGCAAGTGTCAACGTTTTTCATTATGGAAAAATGAATTATCGGGATCTATCGCTCATTTTGTTCCACCCAAAGATCATTAGCATCAATTGATACAAAGTTTTCTTCACAGCTACAATATAACTAGTTCACTATTATTAAATAAAAGTTTTCTTTCGAACAACAACTAAGTTATAATTTTTATGATCTATTATCACTTCAAAGATTGTGAAAAACGATTGTATTCTGCATTGTTCAAAAAAAAAAAAGAGTTTTGACTTTCTAAGCAGAGGCTTTCACCATCCGAAAAAGAAATTCAAGAGCATCTGATAAGCTATTATATTGGATTGGTTTGATTCCATCAAATCATGAATCTGCTATCAAACTTCAGTGCATTTGATGAATTATGGATTTATTATGTTAGGATATGTATTTCTGTAGCTTCTCAAATTCAATTACTTTGCAAATAATACTGAGACATACGTCATTAAGCATCAGCGAAATCAAAGATCGTAATCTAATCGATCGATATACGCGAGTGATAGTTTGAATCTGTCCATGTTTGAAAGATGGCAGTTTTATACAACAGAAAGACGATAATTTAGCTGGATTTTCGATTCTTATTAATAGTTCCATTGAACAAATAAACAATTCGTTTTGCTTCTATTCAGTTCCTGTAATAGTCATATGCTATGAGTTAGATCGAAACCATTCACTCTGAAAATGATCAATTCCATCATCTTCGAAACGAATCATGTTCTTCGACAGAATCTCAAGTCAATAATATTTGTCTAATTTTCATTTAAAATTCGGCATTGTTCGTTGCTAGATGAGTTTAGATAATTGTTGTCAACCATCCAATCGATAACACAATGGTGAAATTCGAAATTCCTTCATCAGTTTTTCATCGAATTGAACCATAAATTTGCCATTGATTTTACTCTCTCAAAAAAAAAACTGAAGCTCGATCCGAATACAAATTATCAAATTCATCCATTTAAGTAAAACAATGCTGGATTTTTCTTTATTGTTTCTTCATTCATGAAAAAGTTATTGTAGTTTTTCAATCCATTCTATGGAAAATAGCCATCATTTGTTTTTTTACTGAAAGTATAAGATCTATGCGTAAACTATTTCGTGTTTGGATAACAATTGACGAATTGAAATTTGAAATCATCATCAATTTTTTTTCTTCTGGCACTATTCATTCGTACTATTCGATTTTGCACGTTTCGTTTGAAAACTACGAATCAACATTAACAAAAGTCTCAAATTTAATTTTTTTAGATTCTCCTAAAGAGAACAACTTTTACTACTTATGCCGTGAAAATAGTGTTGTCTCATTATTTCGAAAGGAAAAATATAGAAGCTTGGTCTTGTCAATTATCAACTTGAGATTATTATTGAGGATGAGATAAGAATAGATTGACTCTTTTCTATATTTTTTGTTTCGTGACTTTTCTTTCAAAATTATGAGATTAAATCGTGACACAGAGTGAACAAATCATGAGTTGACATTGTTTTTAGTAAATTAAGATCAGAATTTTTAGAAACAGAAGAATCAAATACTATAGTAATGAGGTTTTCAAAAATCTTTTTATGTTTCAAATTATGTAAAAAAAATTCCCTTTTTTTGGAAATAGATTCGTCATTAAACTAGAAAAATGATGAGTTATGATAAAGGTCATAATTCGAAGCCATGGTGTCCCTAGTATTAGTATTTCAAAGATTCCACTCATGACCATATTTAACAGATTTTTCAGAAAATCATTGCATAGAACAATATTTATATAACTTCATCATATGCTGATGTAACCTTCATAAAAAGCTTGAGATTGTTTAGATGAATCTTAAAAGTTCTATTGACACCTTTCAAATTCAGACATCTTAATCTTGTACATTAAAAACTTAATAATATAATAAATAAATCAGTTATTCAAGTTGATTGAAAAGTATATAAACTACTATTTAATATAAAAGTAAATGGAAGATAATGTTTTAGTTTTAATGAAGAAGAAAAAAAAATTGATTATTCTAAATTCGAGTGAGACCAAAGTGGAAGAACGACTCGTTTGACTGCGATGATCTGACATTTTTGTTTTTCAATGCTTATCACGCATTTGATTGAACGCGATCGTTTCATTTTCAGAATTGGTCGAAATATTTGAAGATTGAATTGAGACCGATAATAAAATTTGTACATCTTTAAAAATACTCATAGTCGAGATTGTTACATATTGGAATTTGTTTTCTTCATTTTAAAATGAAGGAAAATTGTCGAAAGTATAATAAGAAGAACCAATCATAGCCATATTGTGATGCTTCCCTATTTCATTCGCTATTATCATTGTCGCGAAGTGAAATAGCTTGCTAAAAATGATGCTACGTGAATTCATTTCAAATATTCAAACCTAACCTACTTAATATGTTCATTTAGCCAAATCGATCAAACTAAACAAGTGATGTCTATCATTTTCCGAGCTATTGACAATCAAAACTCTGCATTGTTATATTAAGAAAATTCAGTTTAGTAATAATTCTTAAATACTATCATCCACAGTAGTCTATTTTTGAAAAGCAAGAGTAGAGAGTATTGATTTGAACTTGTTTTCACACTAATCGGTTATAGTCGAAGCCATCGACATACATATTTTAACAGATTATCTTGTTCTTGTAATCTTGCAATGTTCCATGACAAAATATTGCTTTAGCGTTGGTAGAATATGCGTAATTCCATGAGAGCCTATGTATAGTGAAGAACATGCATATGAGAGAAACGAAGAGAGAATGAAGGCTACTATGCTATGTCGAATGGCATTAGCAAGATATTGTGCCTCGGCAACTTCGATATGATTGTCAACCGTTCCTGTGTCTGGTGATGATAAATTTGAGTTTCCGCGAAACTCAGAGTTCGTCCTACTACCACAACTAGCCGTATTGAGAGATAGGACCCCAGTTGTCTGCAAATATTACGATCCGAATGTGTTTCATCTAAGTTTTGTGGAAACTTAATTTTGACATCATGCGCCCCTACATTCATAAAGGGATCAATTGTTTTTTTGGGTCAGAAGATTCATAGTTTAGCACTTTTTGAAAATTGCTGACAAACGAACTATAATAAAGTCTCATTTTTTTAATACAAAATGTTTCAGAAGATGAAGATGTATGTGAGATATGGTACATCGCGCGAGACCAATACCTATTGATGAGAAAAGTAAAGCAGCGTAGTTGATTTGTGGTTCATTGACGAAGTTAAGGCGGGATATGGGTGTGTTATGGGTCTTACTATTGTTTTTACCTACACACACATTCTCATTAATAACAATACATATTTTTGTTTGTAATCTATTTAATAGATAATGTGTACAGTAACACTTGTCGTCGCATTTGACAGCATTTTGAAAACATATAGAAACATTGAAAAGCTTGATCTTATTTTGAAAATCTTTTGAAATATAATCATTATGGAATACTATACTTCGTTCTTCAATCATGAATACTTATCGACATAACATTAGATTTGTTTTAGAAATGGAGGCAAGATTAGATTTATTCATTTCACAATTGGAAAGTTTGCCAAAAAACAAGTACAAGTACATTGCATTTAGTTGTTCAAAAGTCTGATATAAGTGAATTCGAAACTTAATTACAACACCTGTAAGTGAATCAGACACCGAATCAAACCGAAATAGAGCCGTTCAGTTCATTTTCGGTCTCTGTAATAAATGTTCATATTAAGGATGATCATTATCATGATAGTATTGATATTGATAGTTTACCTAAAAAGAAGGCAAACGAACTTTCTTTTATTTTTATCACGTTCTCTTATTGATCTTATTAAAAATTCTGTCAGTGTGATAAAAAAGAAGCTTGTATTGAATTTATGAAGTAAATATAATATTTTTGAAAATTTTAAAATGCACTACTGGTTAGTGTTGCTAATGCGAATGAAATATTCAAGTTTGTTGAACGAGATAAAGAACTATTTTAATCATTCGATGATCCTCTTCGATAATGCTGTGATCAATGACTAATCTTCAATTATGCAGAATTTTAATGAAAATTCAAAATTATCAAATACTTATTCATGACATACAGATCAATAAATCTATTAAGGGATAAACAGGAAAAACAATCATAAATATATTTCCTAAACGTTATTTATATGAATAAATAAATATATTTGAAAACTTAACGGATATAATTGAACAATTGTTTGTTTTGTTACAAGCTGCTTATTATTTTCATATTCAAGGTGAATCAGCTGGTGAATATCCGATTAATATGAACTGCTAAATCACAACAACTTATGAAAAACATATCAAGCAAAACATATCAACTAGGGGTGTGGGTGTATGTCGGTGTGGGTGTGGGTGTGAGTGTGGGTGAGTGTCAATTTGGGGTGTGGGTGTGGGGTGGGGTGTGGGTGAGTGTCGGTGTGGGTGCAGGTGTGCGTCTTCTCTTCGAACTCAGTCACGCCCACACCCACCCACACCCCGTTTATAGGTACCCGAAAGGGTTTCCGGAGCTGTTTTGGTTTCTGAAAAAACGTTTTTTTTAGAGTGTACACCCACATCCACACCCACTCGCACCCACACACCCACACCCACACCCACAAACCCACACCCACATCCCACACCTACACACCCACATCCCACACCCACACACCCACACCCATATCCCACACTCACACCCACACACTCACATCCTTCTTCGAAAAACATTTTCAAAGCAAACATCTTCCGGAAAGAACAAAAATGCGTCTGTCTGTGAATTAAAGAGAAAGAAATTTTTTCTGTGAAAGCAAGCCTGTATAAAGGCACAAACGACAGAACAAGCGCACGTTATTTTTTTAAACAGCGAGCTTTATTTACTATTGTTATAATACAGAGTAGAGTCCTGCAACGGGGTCGGGTACCCGGCACCCGACCGGACCCGAAACTGTGGTCCGGGTACAAATTTGCCGGGTCGGTTCGGGTGCCGGGTATAAAAAAAAATGCCGGGTCGGGTGCAGGATTTGAGCATACCCGGTACCCGACCGGTAGTCGATGACATCTTAACAAGTAAAAGTATTTTACACTCTAGGATAGAGTCCTGCAACGGGGCCGGATACCCGGCACCCGATCGGACCCGGAACTGTGGTCCGGGTACAAATTGTTACTTGATGAAATTAAAATAATAGTATATTTTGCCATATGAAATAAAAGTTTGAAAAGTGAATATAATTTTGACAATAACAATCAAGTGCTGACTATTTCAAGGCTGGGCCGGGTCCGGTCGGGTACCGGGTAGAGCTATCCGGGTTCGGTTCGGTTCCGGGTGGAAGATGACCGGGTCCGGTCGGATTCCGGGTTTGAAAAAAATGAGCCGGGCCGGGTCCGGGTGCGAAAAGTAGTACCCGTGCAGGACTCTAATACAGAGATGCGTACACCTCATCAGATACGCGAGGGACAATGCACACAAATAAAACAAAAACATGGCGTAGCTAAAGCGTGGCATATATTCAAATTAATTAAATGTGTAATTGAAATTTTACTCACAATGGCGGAATTTATTTACAGCTGTATTGGCTATGGCAAATATGTTAATCGAAGTGAATACACCATCCAGCGTATACAAAATACGACCTTTTACCATATTGTCAAACAAGGCAATACAGACAAAAATTGTTCGGTTTTGACGATATACGTTTGGGTAGGAACGTTTTCTGAAACTTATATGACTTCATCATCAACATTTATGGAAGAACAGGTTAATACTGTCTATGACTTTGTTGCGAACAGAACATGGCAGAACATATTAACTCACGTTTGTTTCTGGGTGGGTGTTATCTGTGCATTGGGTCTGAATCTATTATTGGCGTACAGGGATTTGTCTCATAACAGTAAGAGCCCGGAGGAACAGAAACAGGAGAAAGACGAAAAAAAGAGGAAAGAAGGCAAATGTTATTATTGCCGTAAAATTTGGAAAATATTCAAAATTTGGCTCTATAAAACGGCATTTATTTTTCCATGTTTTATCGTATTTGCATATAATTATGACACGATATGTTTACAGACCGATTCAGCTTTCATCGGTCAATTTGCAACTATAACAATTGTGTTCATGATTATCGTAACATTCTCCATTGTAATCATTATCTCTCATGATATTTTTTTTCATTGTCAGTGTTTTAGTACCTATTGTTGTTTTGGTGAGAAGCTAAAGAAAATTGTTGGTAGATGCCTATTCATCTTCGGAATTTCTTTTTTAATATTAATATCAACTATTTTCACCATTCTTATTTATTTGATATCGTGGCTAAACAGGGGGAACAAGAATTGTATCGACGTTCGCTACAGTTGACATCGTCTTGGCATTAGTGGGATGGTTTGGTTCACGGTGTGGCTGTTATGACGGCTGATCGCTAGTCTGTCCAAAATTATAGTCAGCCGAAGTGATCGATGGAAAAACATTTTTAAAACTATATCTTAACGTTTTTCCAGCTGTTCCGTTTTTGTAATTTTTTCTTCTTGCATTACATTATTTTATTTCAATATTTTGTCTTAAAGGTTTCCTCCTCAGAAAACTTGGATTTTCCAGAAAAATCTAATTTTAGTTTCTACCATAGATAGATACTTCGAAGCCTCTTCTTTCAGTATTTGTATCACTTTGCATCAAATAATTAGGTTTTCTATCCGCTACCTAGTGGTTTGTAGTATTTTTTGCGATTTTCTGCCAGCTATGTCGGTTTTTCATAGGTTTGTACCATTTTGTCCTTAGTTATAATGAACAAAAATGCATCATTATTCACTAGTGAGCGTATCTAGTCATTACCCTATACATAAAACATTAGACAATTGTTTTTTCGAAGTAATTGATAGAACGATCGATGAGTAACACAAAGTGGCATGATTGAAACGAACAGTTTACCGTAGTCAAAAACGTTTGATCGATTTAATGGATTATTTTTCTTATACGTTTCCAATGGAAGAACAGATACGACGAAGGTCAGCATCGATGAAATGAATGGGATAAAGAAACCGATCAGATAGAACCAAGGATTTCGAGCCGATTTCATATATCTGAATAATCATAATCATAATCATAATGTCCCATAGGCTTATTGCCCGTTGGGGCCAACCACTGTACGGCTTAGTTTCTTCCACATCTGTCGCTCTTGCGCTAGGTGGAATAGGTCTTCTCCGCTGCGTCCACACCAGTCTTTGATGTCGTCCAGCCATTCTCTACATGGAAGTCCTCTTCGGAGTTTTTCCATCTATTTTTGCGAATACGGTGTGTTTTATCAGCCTATTATCGTCCATTCTACAGATATGGTCGAACAATGTCAATTTTCTTTTCTTTATTATGTCTGCTATAGCTTCTTCTGTCAATACCCTCTTGCTTATATCCTCATTTCTTATCATGCCTTTCCAACTGATTCTAAGTATTCTTCGGTAGCATTGGGTGTGGGTGTGGGGCGTGGGTGTGGATGTGGATGTGGGTGGCGTGCGTGTGGGTATGGATATCAGCTTTCTATCCACTCACAGCCACAGCCACCGCCACTCACACCCACCAACACACCACACACCCACACCCATTGATCTTTTAATTTATCCCTTATATTGCAATAAGAATATGTTCAATCTACTGGAATGATTTTTACATCGGTTGACGCTAAATAAGAAGTTTAAAGAAATAAAAATTCATAAGAAATATCATCAAAATACCTGGCACATCCAATATTTTGGGGATTTCAATGTACAGAGAAATGATGATTCAAGTTTATTGAAGCATAATAAAATACTTTCAACAAAGATGAAAACAGTTTTGTTTTAGAAATCTTCATGCCAGGAGAAAAAATTGACGTTTGAAAAAAAAACACTTTTTCTTTTTCATGAGCATTATTTTTTTCCCATATGAAATGTTTTTCTTAATTGTTTGTCATTGATTGTACGGTATCAGTACAATTAGTTGGATATGTGTGTTGAATGCAAGCTTTACTTTCCCCTTTCTGTTTTGATCACATCACGTGATAAAGTGTAGAAAATGAATAAAATTTAAAACAGACAACATTACTCAGTTTTCATATTATTTTTTTCACTCTATTTTGATAGTTCTACTTTACTTTGCAATAATCATAATATAAATATGGTATTGAAAAGAACAAACAGTCGTCTTTTTGCTTGACCATTGAAAAAAGATTTTAAGAAACTTTTTTAAAAATTTTTCGAAAAATTTCTCGAAATTTTTTACAGTCTCTAAATTTCTTTGTTGAAAAAAATTTCAAAAATTTTAAGAAATCATCAACTCTTCTTCTCCTACCTCCTCCAGACTTTTCACTTCAAGACGTCCCGGGACATATAAATTCAAATTTACATTTTTATATATTTCCTACTATGTTATAGAGTGGTTTTTTTCTTGAGAAGAATATTTTCAAATTTTGCTGTAGGAAACAAAAAAAGTAGATCGCAATAGAAGTCGTCCTATTCTGGAGAATATTGAATTTGTATGTGCCAAATGTCTCTAACATATGTATCCTTATGGAATATACCAAAGTTAATCGATATTTGATTATAGAATGATGGTTATCGTTATTATTATTCTACCGATTGACAATTCAGGAAATAGAACTACATTACATCGTTTAGAAATGGATCGATTACTGTAAAAAGATGAAATTATCAGAATTAATTTTTAATTCTTTTTTTTTCAGATTATACTTTAAATAGCATCTCTATTAGATTAACTAGATTTATCGAAAAATGTATCAGCAATCATCGTCATCATCATGTATGAATTTTTATTCTTCGTAGTTTTATATAAGAATAAGAAATAATGCTAGGAAATGTTTAATGAAGAAAATAATTCTAATAAAAACAATTTTGTTTTTTATTCTAGCTGGTGATACTGCAACAAAAATTCAAAGTACATTTCATAATCATCCGGCTCGAATGAGATTAAAAAATCGAACAGCATGGAAAATACATGAAAAACTCGAGTATTCTAGTGAACAAACTGAGGAAAAAGTAATAAAAACAAAAATATCTTTTTAGATTTACATTATCATATGAAATTTCTTGTATATCTCATAGCTTAGAGATATGTTTGAAAAATTACTTAAAGCATCTGATACACTTTCACCATCTGTTACAAAATTACTTCAAACAGCTGGATTACCTATTGGTAATGAATTATTCGAAACGAAACAAACAATAAATAAATTCAGTTTTATTTTATGTAGAAGAAAAAGAACTTTTAAAATTAACAAATCCTGATAATATTCAAGTTGAGTCTAATTATCGAGGTCCACGTAAGCGAGTACTTTGTTTAAAATCAATAAAATCATAATTCTTATTTATTTCCATAGATATCAAAAGTCCTATTACAAGAAGTACATTTGTTGATTTGATTGAAGCTTTTCAAAAAGGACAAGTAAGTGCGATAAAAGTACTGAACACTATCTGTGAAGGAGAATAATATAAAACATGATGAAATACTAATAAAAGGTTGTTTGTTGATAGAGGATTTAGCACCCAATAGGTAAAATAAATACTGTGTGTATTGATAGATTTAGATATTCCAATCAAATAAAACGATTAATGAATAGTATTAAATCTAGGAACAGATAATTACTATTGCGAAGAACTGTCAACATGACATAGTCGATATATAGATATAACATTACCAAACTTCTTGCTGATGATCTTTTTGTGTTAATTATTATGCCAGATGGAAAATCCTTGGTTACATTAATACGTTCTAAATAAGCGCTATCATTCTCTGAGTTAATGATATTAATATTCGTAAATTGGTAGGAAAATATGTTGATTTAGAAGAACTACTTCGTAACGACATTACCCAGGGTATAACAAACATAGTGGTAAAGCAGTAAGAAACTGTCAGTCTAAATAGTCTACTAGAAAAAAAAAGAAGAATGCTCTATTTTCTATAACATTTGACCCTACTTCAACTAAGATGATAATAATAATACATTTTCAATAAGGCTTGTCTATCATATGTGTCTATTTGATGCTTTTTTTAAATAAATTTTAATAGAAATAAGGTAGACAGCTGCGATTTTTCTTTTTCGAAAAAGAACAACTGCAACTTTCTAGAAGTTGCTCACAAGGAATTACAATACCTTCATCACTACTTTTGATATACCCTAAGAATATTAAAAGATGTGAAGTGAATGCTTATTTATATATAATTTCCTGACGTAAAATATCTATGATAAGAATTCAGTAAATATTCCATTTGGAAACATCCTTTTAATAAAGAAAACACAATGAATCAGAATTTTTGGATAGATAAACTACAAGATTCAAGTATTTGCTTTAATATACGATAAATTGTAAGAAGATATTTATACTAGCCAATAACAATATCGAATAAATCTTTATCTTACTCAATCATTTACTAATAGGTTTTACATGAAAAATATGTTTATGTAATTCTTCATCAAGTCCGTACTATACTTAAAACATTACCAAATGTTAATCGTATTGACTTATCTAATTTACATCATATATTTATTATTGGTGATCTTCATGGACAATTAGCTGATTTATTACATATATTTAATGCGGTAGATTGAAATTTTTACAATAATACTTGTTTTTCTATTTGAATTATTTATTTCTAAGTAGAATGGATTACCTGCAATTGATAATCCATATATATTCAATGGAGATTTTGTAGATCGAGGTCCGAATTCAGTTGAAGTTATTCTTTTACTTCTAGTTGCTTTGATTCTCTATCCAAGTTCAGTATTTCTTAATCGAGGTATTTTTTTTTTCTTCTTATTATTAATTTTCTCGTTAAATGTGTATGTTTTTGTTTTTGCATCTTTCAAAAATTGATCAGGTAATCATGAAGATTATATGATTACACTTCGATATGGTTTTGAACGTGAAATTAGTCGAAAATATGTAGTTAGTTCATAATTTTGTAAAAGAAATCAATCTAATAAAAATCTATTTAGAAATGTAAAACACGATTATTCGATCTATTTAAAGATATATTTAGTTGGTTACCAATTTATTCATCTGTTGACACAGGAAAATCTAAATTGATGATAGTTCATGGAGGAATATCTGATCGTATTCAATTATCACAAATAAATTCTCTTGCAAGAAATCGGTGTAAAATTGAAATTAATAAAATATAGATTTATATGTTTATCGACTTGTAGATATTTCACTTAGTATACGACCAACATCAAAAAATGTTGGTGAACAGTTGACTAAAAATGAAGAAGATGAATATCTTCAAATGCAAGGTACTAATTATAGAAATAGATAATCTCATATATATTTGACATTAAATATAAATAGATTTATTATGGTGTGATCCTGATCCTGAAGATCGTCCAGGTTGTCGAATCAATGATGGTAGACGTATGGCTTGTTTTTTTGGTCCGGATATAACAGAACAATTTCTTAGCAAAAATCACTTTTCAATGCTTATACGTTCACATGAAGTTAAAGAAAGAGGTTATGAATTTGAACATAACAATAAAGTTTTAACTGTTTTCAGTGCAACGAATTATAATGGTGGATCCAATTTGGGTGCTATTGTACGATGGTTAATAACTATGATAATGATTTTTCTCTTTTTTTTTTTTTACTTTGAACACTAAATTTATTCTAGGGATTATCAGATAGAAGAGCCATGGATTATGTCATATACATTTCAAGATATTGCTCCAATTGAAAAATTAAATTTTAATAAACAGTAAGATAATCGAAATCAAGATATATCTTTGTTATTCGTTTGTTTCGTTTAAAGAATAACATTATTTGAAGATCCAGTTTATCAAACATTAATGGAGAAAATTGTGGCAAAGAAAAGTTTACTTGAAAAAGAATTTGAAAGATCAGATAGAAATCAAACTAGTATTTAAGTTCTAATAATATTTCTTCGGAATATAAGTAATTATCTTTATGTAATTAGATCATATATCTTCGAGAGTTTGGGCCGATATAATGAAAAATGTTCTTCAAATTGATTTACCTTGGCTTACTTTACGTGCAAAATTTGTAAAAGAAGATACACAAGGAATTCTCTATAATACGATGTTTGAAGAATATACTTTAGATAATATGAAATTTCAAAAGGTATTAAAGAAAAAGAAATTAGAAGTTAGTATTACGGTCTTATTATTCTAGTCTCATGCAGGTATTATGGAAGATTTATATATATCAAAAGATGTACTTATGGCATTATTTAATTTAATTGATTCCGACCACACAGGTAGGATATGTTTTATTCTCTGGAATAAATATGTAGTATACATATAATATTACAGGTTTTATAAGTCGTAATGAATTTTCTACTGTTATGAAACTTTTACTTGATGGTAAAAATTGTATCGGTGATGTACACCAAGCATATATTGAAGAACTCACTTGTGCAATGGATTTTGATAAAAATGGAAAAATTGATATTAATGAATTTCTCGGTATGATTTGTATGTGAAGTTCATCTGCCCTCGATGATGGAACATATACTCATTATCTTACGAGAAAATTACTTCAAGTTATGAATGTTCTTTTTGGGTAAAACTCTGTAAAATTAAATGAGATATGAAAAGACATAAAATGAGAAGTACCCTTAAATCTTTCTTCTAGAGTTATAGCTGAACCTTTCAGCAAAATGGCTATAAATCTGGAAGCAAGGTTTCAAACGATTCCTATCATTGGTTAGATTCTTAATAGATCGAAATCAAATGGTTTCATTGTTTTTCTTTTGAAATTAGCAGAACTCATAGTGTTCTTTGATGATTACCAACACAAAGAAAGAATAATACTTTTGTAGACTGAAATGAAAAATCTATCAAACTAATTCTTTCATTCATAATATCTTTGAATTTCTTTTTATTCTAGAGAGTTTTCGTATTGTCAATGTGAAGAAACCAGGAAATTAACATGATAAATCAAAAAAAAAAACACATATCATCACATAAATATGTCAATTAAAATAATTTGAAAACAAATACCATCTTTTAGACGCAATACATGGGAAAATAATTATACGCCCAAATATTCATTCGTTGAATTTATTAAACATAAACAAATTAATCCCACCCTTTTTTTTTTTACTTTTTTTGTGTATAAAGAAAAGTATTTTCTTTTTATCTTCGTAGCTTCATATGAACAAATATGATAAGATTTGAGAAGGTCAACTCATGATCTTCTTCCCAAAAAAAAGCTGATAACCAATGGATTGAACTGGATCGGATTCAGACCACTAAGAGATCTCTTGTCACATACAATATATTCGCTGATTCTAATATATAAAACTATTGTCTTGTTCTTCGTCATTCAAGAAGACCAGAACACTCATAAACCTATTATTTCTTTTAGAGAGCAAAGTAGTAACCTAATAGTCAACTAAATCACAATTAATATGTTACACGCATGAAATGAAAATCAACTGAAGCGAAAAGTCTTGGATTTATTGACACATATTAACAGTTCTCGACGGTCGATAATAGAACGTCTCAATTATGTTGTTATGCTCAAGTGGATCAATGTTTTAGGATCAGAGACTATCAGGCAGAGCCCGCTCGGTTTTCACCTACTATGGTATGGGTGTGTGTTTGAATTCATATAACACTTACCATCACCCACATCCACACCCACAAAAAAATGCTTACCTTAACGAGACCTTTCATTTAGTATAAGATAGTAATGGCTTCGGTAAAAAAAAGGCCTGAATGCCGATTTATGACCTTATACGCCTTCTCCTTTCGACAAAGAGTATACTATTTTTTAGTTTAGGATTTCTATAAAGCTTATAATATGTAGATAAACTATAATAATGAAAATTTAGAAAATTCAGTGGATTTTTTCTGAGTTTCATAAGACATTCTCAGTGTATCTTCAAGTCAACCACCTCGAATTTGAGTTTCCAAAGATTCAAGATCTCTCTCAGGTTGTATCATAAATGGTCAAAAAAATGGTGCATTGACTTCACAAGTATTAGTTTCTAATATAAATCACTAATCTTTTGATTGATTCGTCAAAATCGACCAATAATGTCGACTATTTTACCTAAAAACTGCTATCTAGTAAAAAAAGAGGTAGTCGATGATTTTAGTTTAAAAAAATGACCTAAAAAAGAATTTTTCAAGTAAAATAGAGAAACAATAGACAATGTGAATAGTCAATGGTGAGAAACAGTCGAAAACCGTGAAAGAAATCCAAAAGGTTTCTGTTCTAGAGTATCAGTGTTTTCTGCCAGATGTAATGATTTTCCTACGTCTTTCCAATCGATGTCATCAAAATCAGTTTCATTTTGGTCTCTGGACTAATTGATCGGATCAACATGATTAAATCTGCTGCTCCAAAAGAGAAATATCGCAGCCAATATTGTTCAAGAACTCATAAATAGAATTTTCTCCATTGTTGAGCAAGTATTACATGCACTATGTTAATTTGTTGAGAAATTGAAAATTTTTTTATAATATTTCAAAATGCTTCATCCATGTACAGAAAATATTATATGCAGAATGATACTGTATTTCAGTTTGAATAAATATATTTCAACGGTTCTTCTAGGATGGCTGAACACTGCAAGAATGAATACTGTATGATATTGACATCTAGCATCCATTTTAAAAAATGGAAAAGTGTTAGTTGTGGATGGATATAATGATGTTTCTATTCTGAGTATTGCTGAATTGTATGATCCATCAATTGGAACTTGGATAAAGACTGGTAGTATGAATAATGCGCGAGATGGACATACAGCATCCGTATTAAGAAATGGAAGTGTTAGTTACTGATGGATGGGATAGTAGTGTTTCTCTAGATAGTTCAGAATTATATTAATGAACTCAAGCAAATGAACAATCAATAATCCTATGTTTAAATATATATGTAATCTTCTTCCTAGACAGTAGTGTCATAAGGTGAACTTGCTGACTATAATGATTGTAAATGAATTCCTTCGATCTTAGATTATCATACACTTGAGAATTTTTTTTATTTTGATGCGCTAAGCGCTTTGTAGGTGGATGTGGGTTTCAGTCCTTAACTCAGTCATCCACACCCTCAAGTTTAATATTGTTTTAAAAAGAAAATTGAATATTTATTCTCTTTCGACAGATGAAATACATTTTGGTAGAATACAATATCTAATTTAAATTTTGCTAATAAATTTAATAATAAACTTGAACATGTATTATATATATATTTGTTTTTCTATGGGAAGTTAACGGAGCGTGTTATGTTTTCTAATAAAACTTTTCAGCTAAAAGTGTATTAATCTACAAGTCAGTAGATGAAATCGACAAAGCATTTTCACGTTTTTCTTTCATGTAAACTATTCATAAGAGAAGTTGTAATTCTTCTAAATATCTAACTCATGCATTGTAACATCAAATAAACACTAGAATAACAAGGATAAAAACCAAAACTTATATAATCTAACTGTGTCCTTTTTGATTAATTCAAAGTCTTTCTGATAAATAACTGAATTTTGAATAAAAAAATACTCTCCAATCGTTTAATAATACGAATCAAAAGTCATGAGTGATACTCATGAGTGCGATAGTATACCAGTGATCATGCAAACAAACGTGCAATATGGTTTGTCACTTTACCCATACTCTTCACAGTACCCAATACTTCTCATTGAATGAGTAATATTGATCTTCGAAATTCTCATTGAAATAAAATCAAAACTCTCAATATAACTCATATCGCACTGAATTGTTCTATGATTTCATTTTCAAGCAATAGTATTTCTTGTTTTGAATGTACTTTTCAAAGACGAATTCATCTGAGATTTAGTAACGTTAAAGAAAAGCAAATATGTAGATAACATATTTTTTGATCATCCTGTTGTCAATAATTCCAATTGGCTTTTGTTTCACTTAAGTATACTCGATAGATTCTTTGCGCATTAACGTTGTTTCTATTTTCATGTGTTGGACAAAACCAATGTGATGGTTCACTGATAACATCCAACGAAATATATATGATTACGGGTAGCGACAAGAAATAAAACAAACCTCTTGTTACGAAAGAAAAGAATGATATACAGCCTTGAGAAAAAATAAAAAGATTGATTGGTGATATGAATTGAAGTGACAAGTTATTTAACGATACTAATATTGATTGCTCTCTCTTTCAAGCGATAGCATCTTCTAATGATGTCTGTTTAATTAAACGGTTGCTCAACAAAACGAAATCGAAAAATTAGTCTTTTTACCTTGATAGCAATGATTGTATGGTACGTAAGGTCTATATAAAATAAATATAAGTAGGTATGTTGATGTGAACAGTAAAAATATTTTTTTTACTTTTACAGGAGAGTAATTAAACTTTATTTTTTCATTTGCATAGGTATATACGTTTTGTGTAAAGGTATATAACAAGTATGTCTTGTATTGATTTCGTTCTATAAGGCAAAGTTATTTTTATTTGATACATGTATTTTTTTTTTGAGCAGATATATATATATAATAACTTGATGATTGTCTTAATAGTATTCTCATTTAGATAATCATCAGACCATTCTCTTACTAGATCTCTAAGTGTTTCGATATCATTACTTTGCGATGAATACGATTTTGAAATTGGCGTTTCTTTTACTTATCGTCATTATCATGTTGTCGACCAACCGAGCGTTAGTGACAGCTTATCGCATGCAAGAAGATCTTGATGTTGAAGAACCTAGATATAGTCTACGTCAATGGACCAATATTTTACTTCACAAGCGTATGTATCGTTGAATTTCAACGTAACTTGAATCACTATTTGTGTTTGAATCGAAGTCCATATGTCAATCTAATATTGTTGAACAAAATAATGATGTGTAGCATTTATTCATTACGTTATTACTGATCCTATCCGCCAACAAATATAATTGACTAGCATTTAGCATAAAATTCGAATCGATCATTTGTCAAGTTGTTTATGTACTCTGAAATAAGTGATAAAATTGGGTATGTAGTCTTGTTTTGAGATGAACATTATATATGAATCAATGTGTACTTTGACTTATTCCAATAACAAATGAGATTGTGAGATCGTTATCAACGTCCACCGTGAACTAAAAATTCTTGAAATATTTGAATATATCGATAATAAAAGAAATTAAGCTCATATGTGTTGTCTGTATTACTATTGACTCGTAAATTATTGGTTTCATATTAGCAAATTATTTGAATAAACACTTATTGATATGAGATTTTCATGAATAACTTGATCGTCAGCTATGACATTGATTCGAAATCATTATTTTTAAATAGAATATTTGAATAAATATTTAAACGTTGTACAAATAGTTTGATTTCTACACGATCATCAATTATAAACTGATTCTTAACCTCCCTATTGAAAGTAGTAAAACATTTGAATACAAGCGTCTTCTTTCTATAAACTATTCATCTATCTAGTAAGCCTCGAATATATGCTACAATATTTGATGCTTGTTTTTGGGACTATATAAGATATTCGCATAAAAATTTGGCAATACAAACTGTATGAGAATTGTATAGATGATCGAACATTTTACAGATGTCGAATCTTGTTATCAACTGAGTAAAATATTCGAAGGAACACTTCTTATAAACTATTCATTCATCTTATTATTATCCATTATGTTATAAATAACATATCTTTGATTTGCAGTAAGACATATAGTTGAATAAGAGTTTGGTACTGTGAATTATTTATCTATCAGGTATACTATTTTAATACGTTACCGATGCTGAAACATTGATTAGAATCAAGCAATATATATGAATAGTATATTCTTATGATCGAGTAACTTACTATTTGATTCTTAAATGTTTTACAGATCTTAATGTTCTGCTATTCAATGAAAAAAATATTTGAATTGTAGATTGGTATGAACTATTTATCTATGTGGTAACAATTCATCCGATTATATCTTAAATGTTATTGAATAAAA